AATTTTTGACTTGATACATTGTAGCAAAGTCGGGGTGCGGCTTCTAATAAAAGTGCGGCTTCTATTACGAATTTTACGGTAGTCCCAAAAACATCACAACAACTAACAAAACAATGCATTATTATACACATAGACATACACATGTTTTCACTTAGTTGTGACATTAACCCGTCATCACACTGTGGTGATATTCATTTGCGTGATATTATACCGGACTACTTTTGGGTTTACACAGTCAGGTTTGCCACAACTGTCAACAAGCCGAAGATGTTTTGTAACATGAACAAAATGTTGAGTGCACAACAAAAAAGATGCATGTTCTGGATAAAACTATTAACATATTTACAATGTTGTATCATTTTGCTGAGAATTTCCCACAGCCTTTCCCAGTGTGTGCTGCCAGTTCACCTGCATTGGTTAAAATGCATAGCACTATAGCAGTATATTTCTGTTGAATTATGTTAAATATTAACAAATCTTAAAATATTGTAAATCCTAAGCGATTCGTGACAGAAGTGTGATCAACTGCGTTCAAGTACACTATGCAACAACTGCTCGAATTTCAGCCCAGAGTGTTCCTGTTTTCATCAGTGCTCATACACCTCCATCCATGCTGCATAGTGTTCTTGTCTTCAGTACTTGTACATGCAATAAATCACTATCAATAGTGATCAGTTTATAGATGCTTGCCACCCGTTTGCGTTCACATAGAAATACTGATTGAAGTATAACAAATATTATCTATTACAGGTTTGTGTGGAAAAAAAGAAGATAAAGATACTGCCGCCTCGGGTTCCTGCAATTGGGTGAGTCTCGCAAACTATTTTAGCAATTGTACTGCCGCCTAGGGTTCCTCCAATTGGTAAGTCTTGCAAACTATTTTAGCAATTGTTATGCTGCCTAGGGTTCCTCCAGTTGGGTGAGTCTCGCAAACTATTTTAGCAAATGTACTGCTCTCTAGGGTTCCTGCAATTGGGTAAGTCTTGCAAAATATTTTAGCAAATGTACTGCTCTCTAGGGTTCCTGCAATTGGGTAAGTCTTGCAAAATATTTTAGCAATTGTTATGCTGCCTAGGGTTCCTCCAGTTGGGCGAGTCTCGCAAACTATTTTAGCAATTGTTATGCTGCCTAGGGTTCCTCCAGTTGGGTGAGTCTCGCAAACTATTTTAGCAATTGTATTGCCGCCTAGGGTTCCTCTAATTGGATGAGTCTTGCAAACTATTTTAGCAATTGTACTGTCGCCTAGGGTTCCTCCAATTGGATGAGTCTTGCAAACTATTTTAGCAATTGTTATGCCACCAGGGGTTCCTCCAATTGGAGATGAGTCTTGCAAACTATTTTTAAATTAGCAATTGTACTGCCACCTAGGGTTCCTCCAATTGGATGAGTCTTGCAAACTATTTTAGCAATTGTACTGCCGCCTAGGGCTCCTCCAATTGGATGAGTCTTACAAACTATTTTAGCAATTGTACTGTCGCCTAGGGCTCCTCCAATTGGATGAGTCTTGCAAACTATTTTAGCAATTGTTATGCCACCAAGGGTTCCTCCAATTGGAGATGAGTCTTGCAAACTATTTTAGCAATTGTACTGCCACCTAGGGTTCCTCCAATTGGATGAGTCTTGTAAACTATTTTAGCAATTGTTATGTCTCCTAGGGTTCCTCTAATTGGGTGAGTCTCGCAAACTATTTTAGCAATTGTACTGCCACCTAGGGTTCCTGCAGTTGCAGAGATGTTTATCAGGTTTTGAATTCAATTGTTTGTGAAGGAAATACATTACCGTACTTATCCGGGTAAGAGCCCATGCCTGGGCAAACGCCCACCCCCAACTTTTGACACAATAAAGAAGTTGAGGTCATATCCGGGCACACTCCCAGGGGGTCTTTTTCTATACAAAAAAAATCTATTTTCTATTTGTTGACTGGTTGTATTAACAGTTGACTTACTTGAAGTCTGTCGTAATACTTAGAAAAATTGTTAATTGCGTAAAACAAGGAGTGAACGCAAAATAGCTGTGACAGCTTTCTGCCTTCAGGGCAGCGCATTCTGAATCATAACAGTCAGCAAGTCTATAAAAATATATATTAAAGCAGAAACGGTAGTTCTCGTGGCCCTAAAAATGGTCGGCCATTTGGTCTGTGCTTTCTTAGAAACGATTCAGGCAAATCCTATAAGGAGAGCCGCTAAGCAAGTGTCGCACTTGTTCGGCTTTAGCGCCGTCGCCAATGAAACCAATGTTGCAATATTGTAGCAACCCGCACATGGGAGAGTGGTTGAAATCACGTTATTTTGGCTTTATAAAATATTTTGTAGCAGCTTGCGAATCATTAAACTGGGGTCAGCAATTTTGCAATGTCACGCCGAAGACTGCCAATTTTTTTACCATCTTTCATCACAGTCATGAAAACTATTCTTCTGTCGTTGGATAAAAAAAACTCCCTATTTCAAGTCCACCGCGATATCCATATAGTCATACATTCCAAACGCCGGAACTTGCTGAATGATGACTTTCACCGTGATCAATAAGCGTTGAGTCTGATAAAAAAAGCAATGTCACGATTTGACCTTTATGATGAAATACTAGTAGTGATGTCATTCTTAGCCAATCAGTAAAGCAGATGCATAAAGGTCAAAGATGATTGCTAGACTGTAAACAAAAGCATTCGTGTGCCATCGCAGCAGAGCGACCCCATTTTTCTTGTCTCTTTATTATGATTAGAAATGAATGAAAAGTGCCAAGCTGACCGTGACAGACTGCAAAATCCGTGAATTAAAAGTGCTAAGTCCAAATTGTGTGAGACGATATCGACGAACTTCAGGAATAAGTTGTAGGGATTTTGTTCGGCGGCTACAGTGGACTTGGACTTTGAGGGTTTTGAGTTTGACGAAGATGGCAATGAACGTACAAATAAAGATCTGAGAAGTTTTTTTCAAACAACTATGAATTTTTATAATTTTTACTGTGTAAATTTGTAGATTATTATTGATCTTGTATGACGGTTGATTCGTAATTTGTCTAGACCGGAGATCATTTTACGCAGTTTAACCCCTGACATTTTAATTCATTTTGAGTTCACGCATATTGGGCGTGTTTGTCGGCGGGAAAATCCTAATTCAAATGATTCCTCACTGTCGATTTTTATTATTTCTGGTTTACTTTTCACATTATAAGCAATACATTATTTTTGTTCTACTTCTAGTGTTGCATTTTGTTCATTTATTTCTGTTGCATGTTTTCATTTACCGTTCTATTCCCTGCCGCAGTTCGAACTGCGTGTTGTCAATTTTCGCGAATTTTCGTTGTTTTTTTTGCCGGGGATCTCCTGGCAAACGCCCACCCCTTCTTTTTGGCAATTTTTCATGTTCAAGACCCTGGGCTTATACCCGGATAAATACGGTATTTGAATATTCACTTGGTTTTAATCTGGTTATCAGCGAAAATAAAATCCAATTCGTAATAAAATCCAAGTTTTGTTTAACCATTTGAGTGCCGTTGTCAATTTTGGGCACCAAATGATTCTGCTGCTCCTCCCAGGAAATGTTGGTAAAAATTGATGAATTTGTTGATCAAAAACTAAAAGCAAGATCTGAAGCAGTCTGTTTGGCCCAAAATGATAATGAAATTATGTGAAAATATTTGCACCAAATTTTGAGTGGTAAAAATAAATGGCATTCAAAGGCTTAAGGACATTTTAAATGTTGCCTGGTACATTATTTAATGACGTCTAATACAGGCTGTACACAAAGTGACATAGTGGTAAAATGTTTAATTTTTTGATACTTTTTTTTTAGTTTGTTAAAATTTCAAAAACATTCATGATTTTTTTTTTTCTGAAAAATTGTCACAGGTCATCAAATCAAGTTTACATATCCCATGTTGAAAGTTGTTCTGAGTTTTATGTTCATGATAACGATTGTAATATAAATGACATTATGGATGAAATTAGAGATCACTATGAGGTAAGTATCGTTGCATCATAAGACACCTTAGATCTGCCCCATGAGGAACCCAAGTTTCATATCTTTGTGTAGGATAACTCCCAAACTTTTCTGTATTTGATGCTTTGATAATAATCTTCTTAGCTTCCTGTGCATTATTGCTGCATGCTCAGTTCCCTATAGCTGTGGGTTCGTAGCTCTTTTTGTGTTGGTCTTTTATATAATAGTCTTTGCGATGAGATTTTGGTCTTTTCTAATACATTTAGTGTTTGATTTTGTTTTTCCAGTTATTTAGCTTTCTAAATAACCTGTACATAACTCTAGTGACGCCATTATCTTGAGGTTGAACATTATTTTGCAAAATGACGTCCCCTCGGAAAGGGGGGAACAGCTATAACGCCAGGTTGTCTGCTATGTTAGTATCTTGTTATGGATGTACTATTTCCTGTTGTCTACCTTGCATCCTACATGTATGAAAAGACATTTATTTGTACATTAAACTGAAGTAGACGATGAATAATTAATTCTCCTTACGGGATTATCCAATTATTGGAAATACCTTCTCATATTGTCCTCGTTCGACCTGAAGAAAATGGCTGCCACCAAAATTATGTGTGGTTCATAGCACTAAATCTTGGGAAAAAGAACATCAAACTAATGGTTTTTGTCACTGTTTTGGTTTTGATGAGGGTTTAATAAACTTATTATCGAATGATGTTAGCTTTGATGGTGTGATGCTAGAAAATATTCTGCTCTTGTATTCAAAATATTTCAGAAATGGTTAAAATACGACCACAGACTAAAGACTAACACGGGAAGAGCTATGGGCCCACAGCTAAGTCATCTAATTTTGGCTCTTGATAACATTTATAGTTTATTCATAAATTGTGTTGTTTTTTCAGTTAACGACAAAACCACCACCAATTCTGTCAGACTATAATATTGGTGAGCATTGTATTGCTCAGTATTCTGGGGATATTTGTTGGTGCAGAGCAATTATTTTGGGAATTACACAAAAGTCAAAGGTAAACATTTAATTTTTTATTCTATGCATATTTATTAGCTAATTTGCATACTAATTAGCCATTGTTTTGTTTTATCTGGTTTGCTCTAATCTATAATAGATGCTATTTGTTTGAATAAATCAATGAATGATAAGTCTGCAGTTTATTAGCTAATTTGCATATTAATTACATGTAATTGTTACAAGGTTTTTTATGTATCTTAGCAATACAAGGAAAAAGTTGTTCAAAATATCAATGAACATCTGACTTACTTGATCAGAAAAATCTTTCCTTGGTAGTAATATATTTGTTTTGAATTAATCTGCTGAATTAATTTACATATATATACATATTAATATACATAGCTTTCTACTACACTGAAAATGGATCATCTGGTATCACCTTAAAACTTTTTTTATAAACGAATGAGATCTTTTAGTCTTGGGGTCAAGGCAAAAAATGGATACAAATTCTATACATGTGCCATGCAGCTATCAGAAAATCCAATTCCATTGGAACAGATTATTAACAAAATTATTGTTCGTGTCATATTATCAAAACTAATAATGACACAACAACACACAAAAAACATGTGATTTGAACTTATTATATTTTTACCTTGCCCGTACCATCAAAGATGGAAGGGAAAGGTATATTAAGGGAAAGATTTTGTCCGGCGTTGTCGTTGTGGTTGTGGTTGTCGTTAATAATTGTTATTGTGTGCATGATAACTTTACTAATTCTATTCCAAACTTCATCAAACTTGGTCACCTTGTTCATCAGTATAAAGTCTTCCCTGAGTTTGAACAACAGATGTCCTGTATGAAAATATCGTGCAAAAATTGAGAAAAACTGATAAAATATTTT